CAGACTGTGGGGGCGATATGCTGACTCTGTAAACCGCTTAGAGAGGGCTGAAAGCCCTATGAAGCGGTATATAAGTCTAACTGCTATTGCTACTACTACAATTATGGATCTGCTCAGTCGAGGTTCTTATGAAGATACCTCTGTGGCCAAACATTTGACTATCTGGAATGTATGGTCAAGTAGAGACTATCTTCACACAACACAAAGCAGATAGAAGATAAGTTATAATACTCATTATATTTGAGGTCACGGGAAGAATGCTGGTTGTTAAATAGGGACTTGGCCTATAAAGATGTTAATTTGCTAATGCTATTAAACAGCAAACATTATTTATAAATCTTCCCAGGACAGTCGGTTTGAAAACAAACAACGCTTAGAGTAACAAAACTAATGTAAGGTATTATAAGTGTCCTTCCTTTGCTTTTTAATTTTCCATACAAACGCAGATCATGTTGCTGGTATGGATTCAGAGGAGAAGGAAGTTGAACCACAAACTCTCCTAGTTGACATACAGACAGAGGGAGAATGTTTGCAGACCGAGAAACGTTGCAGTGGGCCAAGTGTTGCAGAAACAGAACAAAAGCAAGAAGAAATTCAAGAAAGGGTGGAAGAAGATACATGCTCCAGCCCTTCCTGTCCTTCTGGATTTTCTCCTGGTTGGAGAAGTGCCTTCTATGGTTCAGAATGGTTCAGTCTAGATGTACACAGTTATTTTAGAAAGCTTGGAAAACAAAAAACTCATGGAACTCAAAATATTGATGCTAAAAAAATGGTAAGTCATCCTGCTTCCTCAAAACTGAGAAAACTATGTGTTCACTTTGGGTAGAATGGAATATAGAGCAATGCATTAGAGGGAGTCACAGTTATGGATTTTGGATGCATTCCGTAAGTCAGCCCATTTCCCTTTAGTTCAGAAATTGTTGCCATATGAATGCACTGTTTTGCCCAGTTAAAGAAAAAGAGTTTTAGTAGTATACGGATAAAACCGGTGCGTTTGCCTTCTAGTGTTATTGTCAGAGAAATTACCCTCAAGAATCTCTACCTTCAGGGAGATGTTTGTTAGGCAGGCAAGAGATGGCCTTTATTTCAACATATTATAAACCCATGTTGAACTGTACTTAAGGTTTTTTCCTAACACAAAGAGAAACTGTTTGGATTATTGGATTCCTATTATTACTTTTACTAAATATTTTTCAACATGCAGTTAAACCGCCTCCCCCTCCTCCCAATAACTTCAAAATTACTGAAATGGGAACTATAATCCCGATGGATTTATTGTCTACTGCAATAAATTGGTGATCTCAAAAGAAACTACGTATTTTGCCATCTCAGTTGAATATTTAAAAGGGATTGGAAGTATTGCCTTATTTATATTCGTGTTGTTTTCACATGTAAATCTTTGTTGCAGTGGTGCAAATGTACTTTTGATTAGGGCTGTGCAAATCAGGTAAATCAGATTCAAATCACCGGTTTGGTTTGTCATCTTGAATTGATTTGGGATCTTGAAATGATTTGGTTCTGAAATTCCAATTAAATTGTCAAATCAGGTAGATTTTATTCATATTTCTGTAAAGGATAAAACATTTTCTGTTCATGCACAGGAGGATTCAAACATTTCTAATCCACCGAGAAGCATTCTGAATTTATTTTCAATTTAGAAAACAGGTTTGATTTAGAGGTTCACTTGAACTGATTGAATTGGCTCTCCCAATCAAATATTTACAAAGCCCTAGGCAAGAATGATTTTACGAACATCAGTGGGGCTAGTTAATATTTATACAGAATATAAATTCATTCTTAAGGAACTCTCGGAATTTTTATGAAGCTTTTAGTTTTCAAAGAGGAGAGAAAAAAGATAACAACTAATATTGTACTTTAGGCAAAAGGCACTCAGGAAAACAAGAAAGTAAAATATGTTTTTTTATATGAGCAACCAGTTTGTATATCGCATAATAGAAAACTGGGATATAAATGATTTTAATAACACAACAAAGACGTTGAACCCCGTGACTGGCACCTGATTGTCTCTCAGTATCTTTATAGTTATTTTTATTGACTTGCTGTCAGAACAGTCAAAGCATCAGACAGTTTTTCAGTATTCTGAGGATGGATGAGTAACTGAAATGCTAAATTATCTTGATGATGAAACATTAACATATGAATATTTTGTTTACTCATGTATCTTTTAAGTATTTCACGTAAAATGCAGAGATAGGCTAAAATAAATCTGACTTACCAGCTTTTAACTATGTTACTTTAGACAGAATGGTCAGGGTGTCAGCATTCCAAATACCATGCAGAATTAAATCAGAGTCGAAGGCAAAACTATGCTTAAAGTTCCAGTTTAATAAAACAGGCATGTTGGCACATAGCTGTGGGGGATCCCAACTCTGGAAGTTACATCAGAATCCCACCCAGTTAAAAGTTCACGATCTTGTCCCCACACCCACAAATCCATCACATGGTCCAATCTCCTTCTTCCACGCTGGCGTCCATGCCCAGTTTCTTCCGGTCAGGTGTGAAAGTGCGGAGACAAAGGATGACCTTGGCTTCTAGCAAAGAATGAAAAACAATACATTCCACAATCCTACTCCTTCTATTCCCCCCTCCCATTGACTATACTTAAAGAAACAGCATAATGAAATAAGAGAAAGTGTGGCAGGCCAAAATTCTAAAAGGAATATAAATGCAGGCCCCTGACACAGAACTTATATGAAACTGTTGAGATAAGTACAGCATGGCTTCTTACACCTTCTGTCTTCCCTTTCACATGATCTAGAAAAGGCATGTCCAATCCGCAGCTCACAGGCCACACACAGTCCTGGACAGCTAGTAATGTGACACCACAAGATCATAAACATTTAACATTATTATACGTATGTACATGTATATTTTATATGTGACCCAAGACAATTCCTCTTTAGCGCAGTCCAGGCATACCAAAAGGTCGGTCTAAAGGTTGCTGAAAAAAAGAATAGGGAGGATCACATCTTCACTTGCAACAAATCATAAATGATATCCAGGTTCAGGTGTCATAGAGATTGGCTAGGAACTGGGATGATCTAATAGGAAGCACAGCAATAGCACTTAGACTTATATACCGCTTCACAGTGCTTCACAGCCCTCTCTAAACGGTTCACAAAGTCAGCATATTTCCCCCAACAATCTGGGTCCTCATTTGACCGACCTTGGAAGGATGAAAGGATGAATGAACCTTGAGACCTGTCAGGATCGAACTCTAGGTTGTGGGCAGTATTGTTTACCTACAGTACTGTATACTAAGTATACAGTATACTGTATACTAAGAGCCAAGGTGGCGCAGTGGTTAGGGTGCAGTACTGCAGGCCACTTCATCTGACTGTTATCTGCAGTTCGGTTGTTCAAATCTCACCGGCTCAAGGTTGACTCAGCCTTCCATCCTTCCGAGGTGGGTGAAATGAGGACCCGGATTGTTGTTGGGGGCGATATGCTGACTCTGTAAACCGCTTAGAGAGGGCTGAAAGCCCTATGAAGCGGTATATAAGTCTAACTGCTACTAACCACTCTAACCACTATTCTAGCCACCACAGCAAGAAGCACTATTAAATATCCCGACGAGCATGCTCTTAGGTTGGTTTTTATGCTACTCAGCTTCCCTTCTCAGAAGCCCGCAGAGAAATGGCATCACTTTTGTTTTGTTCTGCCTCTTCCACCAGGAACTTGACCAGCTGATAATGATTGAGACGAGAAATTACAGGAAGAGCATAAGCTTCTACCAGCGGCTGTTGTATAAAGAGAGAAGCAGGAAAGGTATATTTGGGGGAAATGAAATGTTAACAACTGTCTTATAGCAATTGTTCCTCTGTGCTGATGCAACCTCGTCCTGATTACACTTTTCAAATCTTTGAGGTGGAGAAATAAGAACTTTCCTGCCAAAGCTGGAGAGACAGATAGAAGAAATGAAATCAAAGACACGGTTTCTTGAGCTCGTGAAGAACTATCTCCAGGTAACTATGGGAGTTTTCAAAAATTGGGTGTGAACGTCTGTTACTGTATCAGGGAATGCCCAGGCTCCCGTGCACTGACACACTATTAAGGTGACAACTGCAATTGTCCAGAATAATTGCTCTAATTAGCTAAAGCTGCAACGTTGGAGTCTTTCTCACCTATGCTATTTCTCTCTCTTTGTAAGAGAGCCATTCAAAGAGACCACATACTAATGAAAGTCATTATGCAGTGCAGGTGGTGTTTTTGGAAGGCTGTTTGTATTTCCAGATGCCATCCATTGTTTTCTGTGGGAAGCAGTTTTGCCAGGCCACAGGATTCATTCAGTAAAAATTATTCACATTTGGAGTACAAGGAAAAAAAAGAAATAAAACCCCTTTCACAATCCTGTTAAGCTAATTAACTAATTTGTTTTCTGCTGGATATCCTTATCCATTTCAAAAACACTTTATCTTTCGAACCCCACTTTGATTTCTGGTTTTTGGACACACACACACACACAAATGACTTTTGATGGCTGTTGTCAGGCAACTTTTTAGAATGGGAGATGCGTTGCTCCACCTTTGAAGCATCGGTGGCCTTCCTGGGTCACCTGTCACAGCAATGGAGAATCTCTGGTTCATTAGGAGGTGTGGATTCTTATCTCCCTAACCAGCCCAATCAATGGTTACAGATAATGACAGTGCAACTTTAAGAAACCAAACATTTCTGCCAAGATTTCCTACCTTAATAAGGAGCTGCTCCAGATTTTTGTGGAAACTCTGGGGGTGCGGCATAGCTTGAGCACACAATTTGTGTGCGTCAGATCACATCTGCGAGTCAGTTTAATGTAGTGGTTAAGGCATCGTGTTAGAAACTGGGAGACGGTGAGTTTTAGTTCAACCTGAGGCACAAAGCCAGTTGGGTAACCTTGTGCCAACCATACTCTCTCAGCCCTAGGAAGGAGGCAAGGGCAAACTACTTCACCTCTTGCCAAGACAACTGTAGGAATTAGTCCCACCCTGCTTATTAGTACTGAATTTCCCCTTTCTAACTGTTAGAAATCCTGTATATAGCTGTATACAGTGCACAGTAGACATGTGCTTTCCTGCTTAACTGCAGAAGGAAATCAGAAACCTTCATACAAAGATATGGAGCAGGGGTGTCAAACTTGCAATGGCACGTTGTTATGTGACATATCACAACTTTCTCCCCCTTTGTTAAACTGGGGCAGGGGAGAGTGCGTGACACATCTGGCCCGCGGGCCGTGTGTTTGACCCCCGCGACCTAGAATATACCATAGGTGCAACTGCAAACGTATAAACACTGCCATCTACTGGTTGAAGAATACACTGCCGTAGTTATTGTATAAAATACATGAACACCGTATTCCAACACTTACTCCACATCTTTTGGAAGCGTTTTTTTCCCCCTCTGTATCTTTTCTGTTTGTTTCTTTCTTGTCTCCTTTTGTTGCAGATTATGTATGCAGAAAAATGGGGTGTTGAACCATGCAACTTTCTTACAGTGGTTAATATGGGACAAAATGAAATGCTGGACATCGGTGCCTTAGATGACGTGCTGATTTTTTATCACATAAACAAAACTCCAAGTGAAGCTCAGTATAACGACAATCAAAATTGCCTAAGAAATCTTCAAGCTGGAACTCCACTTGGATTAATGGCATGCCTGTATTCTAGGTACAGCCTCTTAGACAATTCCACCAGAAATTATAGTAGAATAAAATCGAGTATCAATTCTAATCTTAAGACACTTCATGTTTTCCCCAGGAAAAATCAGAAAATGTGGTATTGGTCCCTCTAGCTTGGTGTTGCATCATTAGGTACAGCAGTTTTAGAGGACTTTTCAGTTTTCCTATTTGTGGAAATATAGCAATAGCACTTGCTCATATACCAAAAGAAGTGCTTTTCAGCCTTCTATAAGCAGTTTACAAAGGCAGAGTCCCAATGGGAGTGGGCAGCATACAAATTTTATTAAACTGAAACTGAAACTGCAGTGATTTGGTTGTGATCGCTTAACAACCATGGCAAAAAAAAAGGTCGTAACATGAGGCATGATTCATTTAATAATTGCCTTACTTAGCAACCAAACCTCTGGTCCCAATTGTGGCCACAAGTCAAGGACTATCTGTAAATAGTTAACTTGTGCAAGAATTTAGACTAGAAAAGAGGAATGAGTGTCGAACATATTTCAGTGACCATCCCACTGGATCATTTGCAAAAACAAGGGAAGAAAAGAATGATGGCTAGAATTCTCACTATTTTTTGGGCAAACCTTTAAAAAGTCTAGCATGGGAAGTTGGGGAGAAGAAGCGGATTTGTTTTTCACGTGTTCTTTGGTCTAGAGCACGGGTGTCAAACTCATGGCATCATGTTGCCATCACGTGATGTTTTGCGACTTCCCCCCCATTCACGAAGCTGGGGTGGGCGTGGCCTGGGTGTGACGTATCCGACCTGCGAGGGCCGCCTGTTTGATACCCCTGGTCTAGAGCCTAGTGAACTGGCCCATTTAATGTAAAAGCTTAGGAAAGCAAGTTAAATTGTTACTTCTGAACTTAAAATTGTAAGCCTTTCTTCTTTTTAAATCATGCAGACTAACTAGAAACTCCAGTAGCTTTGTCCGTTTCTTAAGTAAATGCTTAATTCTGCAGCTTTTAGAAACAGAATTGATTTTTAAAATTGGTAGATTGTACCTTAAAAGTATTTTCGGCTCACAATAATGTCAAGAAATACATTACTTGTTATCGTACATTTTTTTAAAAAACAATCTTATTTCAAAAAGAACAATAAACAGAAATTGCAATATTAACTGATATCTAACTGAATAATTTCCTTTTGCTTCCTATTTTTTTTGTCACTCTTGAGACCAGTAAAAGCATATTTTAGCTTTGCATTATTGTTTTCCTTTGTGTTCTTCAGAAACGCATTTTTAAAAGGCTACGTTCAACAGTTCCTGTTCACTTTTCGCTATTTCTGCTCACAAGAGGAACTTCTACAATTTCTTCTAGATAGAATCAGAATTACCTTGCCCAGGTAGGTAATGAAACCCCACTGAAATCAGGTAGATTTGAGCTCATTAGTATTTGAGTGGCCTTTATTCTGTACCTTTTCATAATTATAAAGTATTGCTCACTTAGTAGTCAGAGGGCATAGCCAAAAAAAAATAGTTCTTATGCCAGTTGAA